GCTTAAATCACTGTGCAGATAACCTATAGCGCTTCTGTCCGATCCACTTAATGCATATTGGAAGTTATCACCCGTGATTCACACTCATTTATCAGGCTTCTACTCTATGAACCTCATATATTTACAAAAGTAGAATGAAGCTGTAGAGAAAATTACTGATAATCCACTGCATTCACACGCTCATGATGCTGCTGCTTTAAAGTCTCGTCGTTCGCCTTCTATCGCTATTATACGATAATTATTTTGCTACTGGATGCTGTGTTTATAAGGATGTTGAAAACGGGAAAAAGTACCTGCCTGCACTGAAAAAATTAACCGTACTACAACCGATGACAAATTAATAAAATGTCCACTGTTCATAGTGCTTGATTTTTCTAAAATGATAGATCTTGTGATTCCATGCTTCAAAGAACGTCAAAAGAGGGGAGATAATTATATGCGGGGACTCAGACGTTTCACTGTCGATCTGGCATCAGTCACCATCGATGAAAAATATTTCTTGTTCCTCACGTCCACGGCCATGTAACGGGAAGACCTAGCTGTTAAAAATCTTTCAGCACAGGGATCTGTACGCGTCTGAGAAGTAATTAATCTCCCTATTAATAAGATTTTCTCCGCAGAATTGAAGTAGCCGGTGACGTACTGCGTGAACTAGCCTGAACCATTGTGACAAAGGCATAGCTCGATCTAAAGACCAATGTCTCGATATTCAAGACCATCCTTATCCCCATGCTTACCAACGGAAATGAATCGTGGACAATGGCTGAAAAACCCTGATCCCCGGTAAAGGCGACTGAAGTAGGCTTCCTGAGACGAGTCGCTGTCTATACCCAAATCATTCAGAGCGTTGCAATATAGTTAATGATTCTTTAGATTGACAAGTTACTGCTGCGATGGTTTGGGCATACGTTGCGAATGGTTCCAGAACGCAAGGCTAAACAGATGTTTCTTGCCCAACCAAACGGCAGAAGGCCCAGAAGAAGGCCGGGATTAATCAGCTGCAAAAATGTGGAACAATTCTGTTCCAGATTGCAGTTGTCTTCTGCCAAAGATCTAACTCTGACAGAGGACCGAGAAAGCTGGAAGAGCTGTCACGTCGTCTTCCTAGGTCAAAAAGCAGACGCGGATATGAAAAATGAGGAAACAGTTATTTTTCGTAAAATGTGCAACCTGAATATTCAGGTCTACAACATTTGTAACGAAACAGAAGAAGCTCTTGACAGTATTTTCTAATTGTCATTTTCTCTTCGACAAAAAACCAGGAGGTGAGTTAAAATTGACTGACGACGGATATAAATCTTATGAAAGTAAAAAAAGTGATTAATTAAATTATCTTTGCCTGGACAAAATTTACACTTAAAGAAAATTACCCAATCGGCATCAAATATACAGTCGTCATTGTTGTGGTTTCGCAAAAAAAGAAATTTGATAATGACAATTTCAGGGTTTGTGTCTGCTTACTGCGCTTGATTGGAAGATTATGAATTATTGTTCCTAGAGAGAGTACAGTGTTTTGAGGCGTGAAGGGAGAGGATCATGTTCCTCATCATATTTGAATGTTACCTGTAGTACAATATTTTCCAGTGTATCCTCTCTGGCATGCGCATTGGTGAGAGGTCACCAAATTTACACAGGTTCCATGTTCTCCACAAGTTACTGCTTCGCAATCGTCGATATCTAAACAAACCAACAGGTCAGTATATTTCTGTCATGAATTTTTAGTCTCTGTTTAGTGCTTAGTTTTCTATGGCATGACAATTGTACATATCAAAAATCCCGGCGGCTTATTAGTCGAAATCTATGAAGGGATCCAACAATTTCTACGCCATCATCGGCAGCTTTGGCTATTGGTTTAATAAACATCTCTCAGTGAAGCAAAACACTGTCTCAAAACAGAGCGAAGAGACGGAACAAATTCTTCCCATTATTTTTTTATGAATAGTTCGGTGCTTCCCTGTTCTTCACCATCTATCATTTGCATGTTGAACAGGGTCTTTTCAAATGAACTACAGGAATCGTTTGGAATTAACTATAACAAATATGGCATCTTCATCTGCAAATTCCAAAATCTCTTAGCAATGCTCTGTTGAAAATCCTGAAGGATTTTTGACCCAAGATGTCCGCTACATGGTTTTACAGAAATTTATACGAGCAATTTTCAGCATTGAGGTACACTGGTATATATAGTTTTTACTTCTATGTATCAGCTTCGACGTTTCAGTTAATATCCCCTTAACGAGGTATGCAACATTCTATGGTGTTATGATCGTTTACTTGAGCAAGGAAAACAAGTCTTTATGATTCAGACAGAAATTCCAGAGATGAGTAGCTTAGGTTCTGGCTTAGTTGTCAAAAATAGAGCGGATTATAGTACCGAACCACTCTGCCCTGAATTACGTTTCCGCTGAGACAATCGTCTCTGCTAGCCTTTGTAAGGATTGACAATAAGTAGTCATAAATCAGAATTATAAAAGCTCAATCATGGTGGATTCTGAAATTAGTCGTCTGTGGTTCATGGTTCGCCGTTAGCCGAGAAAGCTCGTGTTGTCACTTTGTTGAATGTGATCTCGTAAGCAGATTTCGTGAATTTCCAGTGTTAACGATGCCCAAAATATGTTAAAGGCGATTAGAGAAAGATTAACGCTTCCGAAACCTAACGACTGAATCCTACACAGAATACTGTTCAACTCAGGTTGCAGCATTTCTGTACTGAGGTTCAAACCATGCAACGATTAGCAAACCTTTTTCGCATAGTCTTCCTGTATATCCACTTGGACAATCACAGACATAAGACCGATTGTGGCCGATGCATTCACCTCCGTGACTGCAGACGCTGCTCGAACATTCGGTAAAATCTGCAAGCAAACGCGTTAGTGGCTAAGTGATGGATGACGGAGTGCATATTCTATCACGTAGACCTCCTGCCACACGTTCCAATCAAGCGGTAGTTGAAAATGATTGACTCTTACGTTTTTCGCATGCTCTACCAACAAGACCTTCATCACAAACACACGTGTAGGTATCCATCGAATCAACACAGGTTCCATTTGGTCCACATGAAATACCAACGCAGTGATCGATTTCTGAAATGAAAAAATAATCCCTAACGAACTGTGTGTTATCTGGGTAGTGGCAAGTCACTTCCTTTCAACAACCTACAATGCTTCATGGATTAGCTTGGAAAATAGAAAGAATGGTTTAAATGAACACCTCGTGATCAACCCGAGGTGAGAAGTTTGCCATTGTAATATTATGAGTACTATGTTATCTATGCGATCCATGTCACTTATGAATCAACGAACACTTTAAGCTGGTTTAGTTCGATTTGCGGATCGAAACTTATGCTTCGCTATGACAAGATGCGCTTTAAATCAGGATTCTTAACTGCAAGACATCCGGCACCTTGTTCTCTAGGATCGGTCATATCCGCGGACACCAAACTCAAAAAATTCTACGTAAATTAATTCCCCTCGTTTTGGCTAGCAGATTATTGCCTCTAAACATTATATATTTCAAAAGGGGCACATAATCCAAAGTAAGTTAGAATGATGCACTTTCATTTTGAATTTATATTCAAAAGCGACTCGCCTCACTTCAAAGAGATGAAGTCTATTTCTATTGATTACGTACTTGTCTCACATTCTTCTCCACTGAAGCCTTCTTTACAGTCACAAACAAAGCCACCGCGTTGACGAATGCACGTGCCATGGAAACCGCATACAACGCCGGAACAGGAATCGATTTCTGAGAGAGAGAAAAAAACGAATGAGGTAAACACTGCTTCATGCAACATATACCCCTGAAAGACTATATTATTAAAATTCGTATTTTAACGTCACATGTTAATCTTCTCAGTTTCCATTTTTTAATTTCTGCCTTCTCACAAAGAGGACGAAGTAATATATACTCGGAACCTGCACTTTATAAGCCCTTGCTACCACAGAATGGGCACAGTTGATAACGTTTATCGGTGTAAATTATAGCGCCTGTATGTCGTCATCATTTCTGCCATATCTGGCAAAGTGGTGGGTGCTTAAGACGACAAATATCAGTTAATCTTATAGCAGCTATATTTGAAGCGTATTACAGTTCAAGCGGTCATTTCCATAATTCATAGTTCACGACGACCACACAAACCTGACATCAGCTTCTCGCCGATCTACTTCGAACAGGCAGCCACACAACGGAAATTTACTATAAGCGGATTACCTGCCTCGCAAAACCGACCCGTATAACCGGCTGTGCATTCACACGAGTAAGATCGCACGTGGTCAACGCAAGTACCGTTGTTTTGGCAAATGGCACCGACGCAGTCGTCAATATCTGCAAAAGGATTAATAGACGAGCACAATCAAATCACCGACACTTACTTTGCTCGCACCTGCTGCCAGTGAATCCAACGTAACATCTGCATCTGAATCCGTTAAACTCATCAATGCACCTCCCAGCCTTGTTGCATGAATCCGTCAGACATTCGTCGACTTCTGAATCAAAACAGTTAATGACATTAATGTGTCCAAAGTCTGGAAACGTAAACTTATGCTGACGTTTTCTGAACCTGAACGTTAACGAACTCAAGTCACTGAAAAGAGGAGAGAAACGGAACTCGGAACCGTTTCAATCTACCTCGCGTAGCCGCAAATTTCTAATTCAATAACTTGAGTGTTACCTGTTTACCTCGGAAAACTGGCAAACGAGTCATCGCGTCAGAGGTAAAACCTAGGAACTGTTGACTTTGCCGCTATACCGACTCAGCAACCAAATCACAAAACTCACGGCAATACACTCTTAGGCATAAAAATACCTTCAGTAATTATCATAATCCAAGCGGAAAGACGTTCATTGTAGCAGAAATTGATTTTCTGTAGTCTAATGCCACCGTTTCGTCTGCTATGATAGTACTGTATGATATACGAGACGCGCTGCACTGATTGATACAAAGTATTTCCAGTACTACAACGACAACGATAATACTGACAAGGGTTTATAGTGCTAACGAAACTACTGATTCGAAGAGGTGTTAGTGACAACGTAGCAATTTTAAATTGTAATATTTTGATTACTCAAAAAGGCCACACCATCGAGGAAAGGAAGACAGAACACGCCATAAATCTTATCTGAGGATATAACTCTGATTCTGGAAGAAGTGTCCAACTCAAGAAACACAAGACAGTGACAAACAAAACATCCTAACATTATGAAAACAAAATGGAAAAATTCCATTATTGAAGAAGATTAAGTGTTGTTATCCAGGAACATTCGATATTTCTCAAAAAAATGAAATACGTCGTGAAAGACAATGCCTTTTACCCTTAGAGTTAAAGAAGTCCTGTTGATTCGAGTCCTCGTAACCAGCTTCATCAGTCGGTAGAAAATCGACCAGTATAGCGATATCTGTTGCAGGGGGAGACCTAACCGCGTGAAAATGGTACTGTGCATAGAATCCTTGCAATTGCATAGATGCTCTTGTACCATATTTAATATTTTTGATGTTTTTTAACAGCAGACTCTCCTGTTGACTTATTATCAACCGTTTTGAAAGCAGCGTATCGAAAACATGCCTGATTACGACTAGTGTCTCTAACGTTTCGGCCTATGTTAATCATTGAGTATGAATCGTAGACACCAAAAGGCAAGATTCACCGCAACCACCACACATAAACATGATCCCATTACATATTTTTAAAGTCAGACAAATAAATGAAATTCAAAATGATCAAAACAACCAACTGTCGTTCGATCGTGGCGATGCTGCAGACCTCTTCGTAAATGAATCACATTCTACAAAGAATGTTTAGAAACTATGTGCTTCCTAACGACCTACACTTCATCTTGATCGTAAATGAATTCCCGTATGAAACTACCTCGATGTACGCTATTGCAACGGCCCCAGAAATCGTTCTTATTGGAAGATCTGAGGTTTCCCTGCGTGTCGCAGACCACAATGAGAAAGTTGAAATAAAAGCAGTTTCTAGTTCTGTTTGATTACATCAGTCGGAAAACCAGGAATAACGGAATATGGAGAATATCAAGCATCAGTTCAGATTGATGCACTAATGTCCGTTAAAACTGTGTTTCGGTTTTAATCCTCATGTTTTCCTCAATATGCAGTTTAATATCATCTTATCTGAATCATCTACCGAAGGATTCATGCATTTTAGAATGGTCGCGACTCGTAGAAATATAGTGGTATCTTTCAAGGAAAGCTCGTCTGTGTATGTGATTAAACGAACTAAAATTGATCACGAAGAAACGATATATATCTCCTACAAACACAATGAGAACTTCCTCTCATGCATGAAGTGTGCTACAGCGTGGTCATTCAATGTGAGTATGGCGAAAAGGCTCAGTTTAAACCGAAGTGGTTCAAATTTATGACCGTAATCATCGCAGACATCTTTCTTCGAGTCCCAATATCCACGCCACAACGAGTGAGGGTTGATGTCGAGTCTGATTGACAGCAAATCTTTCAGACAGCGTGAAACAGATTTTTACATCACAGTCCACCTCACTTTAACTACATACCCTCCAGGCGACCTCATGAAGAGACAGCTGCTTCCTTATCGACATGAAAGCCGTGGTAAGCAAAGGTGATTCGCATTCTAACCTACGCAGGAAGCGACAATAATATCAATTAGTTCGACGCTGTTTAATCGTGAAGTTAAAAATGCGAAAGTCGGAAAACAAACTTCAAATAAAGAATGAAACGCAGATTGTTGTTTGCTGGAAAGAACTATAGGGGGAATCGTCCAGAACAAATTCACGAGAATTAAATGATTTTTAATAAAAGCATTAAAATTGGATTAAAATCTAAGCTGTCTTGTCGTTACATGCATTATTTAATATATTTTCATTCGTGAGAAACGAAGAGATGGATTGGGCGGAAGACATCACCTCGAGATTTCAGGACCGTGGATTCGAATCGCTGCGATGTAAGCTTCTTTCCAGACATCTATATTCAACATTAAACTCTTGATCTGTAGGCCAGACACTTAACATAGTCCTCTCTGTCAACGATTCCGTTCCATTCGACCATCCTCAATTTTGACGAACATCCAACATCGTTAAGTCCCAATGGAGTCATTCATTCAAAGAAAGCCTACAGCAGCTCTACATTTTTTCTTCCTTTCTCTTAACGTTTAAATTAGCAGACTCATGTGAAAATGAGTGAATTAAGCCAAATTTGTTAGGTGACCTATGCCATGGCACTGATCAAGCATAGATCTTCGACGTCAACACGGAACAGTGGCATGGTAATGGCAGTTATTAATAATTCACATCCACATTTATTCTATATCACGTATGAATACCGTATTCGCAATTGTCTCCGTTATAACCGTCTTCACAAAGGCACGTATAATAGTTTAGGTTGTCCACGCACGTTCCATGGTAGTTACATGAGTCACTCCTGCAGTCGTCAATGTCTAAACAATAACGGAGTCAAGCGTGGTCATAGTTTTAATACATCAGATACACAGCGTTCATCTTTTTCATGACCTGCATTCGTGTCATGGCAGTTATTGTCACATTTCTCAAGATTGGTCTAACAATCGTATATATGATTTGATGGAAAAAGTGGTAGAAACTGGCAATGATCATTCGACCCCTGCCTGCTAATTCAACAGTCATTATTTTCAGTGTCGCATTCTAGAAAGTGAGGTTCGACGCATCAAATATTCATTTTTTGCATGATTACCTGATGAACAGTGACGCGGCACTGATGCTATAGAAGTGTTGTTTATTCGGTCAGCTCTCATGTGGTTCAGACCTTGGGATTAGAGGCTGGCACGGTTCTTCTCTATATTTTGGAATCCATGAACGGGCCACACCTGCACTGGATATAAGACTGCCTACTCAGCTATCAACTGGGTCCATTGGACGTAAAGTCACAGCGAAGGCTCACATCGCACAGCTCCGCTCTCAATCTCATCAATTCGGATTTTAAAGACAATAACCACTTACAGCATGTTGCACCCCTGATTCCATCGGAACCCCCTCGGGTAAGTGTTTGCTCATGAGAATTCGCGGGTAGCATATGTTTTACTGTAGCTTGTGGAATTCAAACCCAACCTGTTTTCTGTCATACCCAAGGACGCCTAATAACTTGAAGCAAAATAGATCTGAAACGACGACTACGTGATATATTGCGGATCGGTGACATTCATTTCCGCGTTCTGAACATCTCATTTGTGCTGCACTCCGTTTTTTAATCTTTAATCGACGAACTGCTTCCACCCGCTTAGCCAATCAATTCTATTAGCCTCTACTGCACAGACTGTTCTATTTTTCTTGCAGCCCAGTAGATATTCCGTTGATGTCTATGAGCTTGTATAGAAACAGCAGCTAGATCTGTACACCGCGCAGAGGATGCCCTGAAACACTGCATCCCTCCAGAATGAAACTGCCCGTGAAACAAGAAGACTTATATTGGTAATCTCATGCCCGCAAATCTATTCTGAACTTTTAACATGTGCGATGGCACTGGAAATGTGATGCGTTGTTGAAAATTGACCAAACACAGAATGCGAGAGTTTGCTTAGAACGATCGTCCTTGGAAATGTGTTCATTTCTGAGAGGCTGCCTCCATGAGTGCGTATATATTAAACAGTAGTATCTTGGAAAGTAACCAGACTGAGTAAGAGAAACTCGAAAGTTCACGCATAATCAATTACACACAATGTAGGCCGGCAAATTTCAACCTGACGGAGCAACAGCTAAAAATTTCATTAACCTTAGCGAAATATTTAGGAATCAAGTCTAAAGATATACCCAGACAATAATGGATCTGAGAAAATTCAGATGTCTCCTGAAGACACTCCACAGACACGGCGAATAGAAAAAACGGTACAGAAAATGCATTCACGAATATTCTAAAGGAGCCAATTTCAAACTCATTTCTAAGATCGCATATTCAGGTAACCCATGAGCATATGATTAGCATCATCAACGGTCAGTGAGCTTTTCATACGATCGAAGGATGAACTAATCGATTTAATCTTCAGACCCGCCATGTTGGTCGGCAAATGAAACCGAGGAGGACAATCTGATGACCAAGTAAAGAGCAATGGACGTGAAAATGCGCTAGCTGTCATGCAGGGAATTAATTCAAAAACGGTCCGGTTTTATATACTTGGTATATAATTGCCCCCTTTTACGACGCCAACAGAAGACGGACAAGGTATGTAAAAGTGAAGCATCATACAGACAACCCGCAAAATATTACTCAATGGGTTTCACTGGAGGATGAACATTGAATTTGTCTCCTAAGAACATGCTGAGCTGACCAGATGCCGAAAACGGAGGTAGTAAACGGAAAGTAGGGACGTTGGACGAAAGTCGACTTGCGTGTATATCATAGATATTTTCTTATAACATGACAGGTCGATAAATCCCATTGTGCGCATTTTCTCTAACTCAATATCCATTACAGTGCCTCATTTCTGCAGCAGTGGTCAGTCTTTCTTGCATGGCGCATATTCCAACTTCATTTGGGCCGATGAAATGACGCAATCCTGTTTCTGAACTCTGGTCCATTCATTCGTCATATTATTTTATGATTATTTTTAATATACACTTTTGCACGTTGCGTTGAGAAGACTCCAGAAATTGAATAGTTACTAGACGTTTGGACAAACTTTTTCATCATAGCATTGTAGTGCAAATTTACACAGGACCGATCGAAAGCGTATGGCCAGTTTCCTTCATGAGAACACTTAAAATCTTCTTAAAGTACTCCATCACGCTATTACGCGTCTTTTCGTGGACAATTCCGTTTTTTGTAAAGCTCAGTGCAGCCGCACCTCGCATATATAATTTATCTCAGACCGATTGCCCCAGTGAACTTATTCATCTGGTTTTACCGTGTACGCTGTTCGTCACGTGATTGAGGGAGAGTCAAATCGATTTGATTCTTAACGTCATTTATTTAACTGTATGTCATATATTCACGATTGCTTCATCATTTTCTCTAAACTGACGTTCATATCAAATGATTTGTCCATTTCAGAAAACCAATCACCAATCGGTCACCCGTGTCGTTCCTTCAGATGCACTTTGCGACCTCAGTGTTCAATTCACCACTGAGGACTTGCAAGGCTCTTTCCTCATTCAAGCAGTTCATCCGTTTCTTCACGACAAACTCCAATCCGTTCTTCTGCGTAGTTAGAACTCAGAGAATATAGTTCAATTCCATATATTTGAAACCCTCGTAAATAATCGTTCATGGCTGCCTCGGTTATGATGCCCGTTTGTACTATGTTATTCTTTACTTTTATGTGAATAACTGGCTTTACTTTCCACGTTTTTCATTTTCAGATCGTTTAGTGGTTAGCGTAAATCGATAGTTTCACTTTTACAGCCACTCCTACCTTTGCTGCCTAACTTTGCCGGTTACCACCATGTCCCAATTGATTTTGCTAAGTTCTTTTCGCAGTTGTTGAAGCCTCCCTTCGAGAATAAATGATCAACAGTTGCACGTTGCCAAGGTTACTGAACCGGACAAGTTCAAGTCCGAAACCCATATATTCCTAGCACCATCTGTGTTTTGTCTGACAAGCTACCGCCACTGTCAAAAGGAAATGCTGCTTCCGGAGATGACAGAAGTGGTTTAAAATGTGGTTCTGTCTCTGTGGATCTAGCCATGGCGCATTACCCATTCCAAACGTGTTGGTGAATTAAGACTTTTCCGTATGGCTGAGCATGTTTCTCAAACTTTCACAGCATGGCTGAATCTGGAAAGCACACAGATTCAGCTGAAGACTAACTTTAGAACGTGTTGCCAGCGGCTTATGACTCTGGAGTGGTTTAATAAGACTCAGGAAGTACACATGTAATCACGTTAAACAATGCTGCTCAGTGCGACTCTCTAAACGAAGCTAAAATTTCATTACAATTTAATTTTTACCGCAAGATTCAGCCCAGTCAAAAATGTTCCCTTCGCTAAATAACACCCGACACACTGTCGTGCTAATTGCATGCATAATAACTTATTATATGCAATAAAGCACATATTCCACGATTAGCAAGAAGTATGATAATTGCATAAAATCTAATTTATAATTTCACACATACATTGAATAAAATATTGTTATTTGCAACTCCAGCTGGGTAAATGCACAAAGCACATATTCATGCGCCTCCTCCTCTGCCCGAAAGGCACAACATTACTGTTGTATCAGTGCCTTAGTGAACCTAGACTGAGCCTAGCATACGTTAATAAGAATTCGAGCTTACGGCAACCAATTTACCCCGTTAAGGACAATTTATCCTACAGCAGTGCAAACGTCGATTTCTGCATTGATTAAGTTTGTGTAGCCATCTCGTTTTACCAAAAGTTACGGCTTATGGCAGCGTCTTGTGTCCTTCATACGCCGTTGAATTACAACACAGCGATCGGTCAGACCAACTGTACCAGTTTGGCTACACTAGCTTAAGGAGCGGTTCGTCAAAACGTTAGATTTTGAGCATATTCGATGAAGTTAAACTTTGATCTTATATTTCTGCATTAAATTTAGATTAATGATATCAATTTGGATACTATGTCTCTTGAGGAATGATTCAGCTCGATTAAAAACGTGATCCTTTACGTCAGTATACTCTGCATGCGGTGTAAACCGTTTAAACATAATATCGATGAAAAACTTAATCAATTCAAGTAATATCTTTACAAAACGGAACAGTTCCACATAAATCTTATGGATTCTGTGTAGTGTTTCAAGACATCTCTTTATATAAGCTTCAGCTCTAATAAAACAAAATAGCTTACTTATTTCACAATTATGTCCCGTGTAGCCAAGCACACACCTGCATTTCCATTCTTCCAAACTGAGGTCCATGCAGGTGCCTCCGTGTTGGCATTCGATCTGTTCGCAAGGGCAATGTCCGCGATATTCCGGCTCTTCCTCCCAGCAGCAATCGTTGTCCAGAGTTCTGAGGCAGTCAACGTGTGGATTGTCGCTCGGTGGCCGGAATCTAACCTTGTAACTCTCACCGCACGTCGCGTTGTATGTCCATTCATGCCACTGAGTGAAGTGACAGGGAGGACATTCGCAACTTGCATCAATTTTGTTAGATTCCGGGCAAAGGCCATGGGGCGGTTCTGCTTCAGAGATCATCGTCCAAGCACAAGCAATGCCTACACCCGTTGGCAAGCATTCGACTACACACGCTGTGTACATGTCGGTTTCACATAGAACAAGTTCGATACCAGGCCTATTATTATCGAAATTACGCAAAGCTAGAATGTACACCGTCTCGCCTACAAATCGCATTTGCATGTACATAACCGTATTCTGTTGCAAATTATCGAGGATATATGGAGCCAAGCCGATCGCAATGTATGGAAATCTCAGAAGCGTTTCTCCACGTTCGTTGTATCCATACACGTATAATGTCTCATTCCGCACCTCGACAGCCTCCAGATCCTCATTGCAGTCACCCGCACAACGCGTCAGTGCGTAGGGGTACAATATTGTAATATCTTCGATATCATAGAAACTCTCATATGTGTCCAAAAAACTTATCGAACGTCCATTCTTGAACTCTTTGCACAACTGCAAAGACCCATTGAAATCCGGAATAGGTTCATATAGAACTCTGCTAACGGCAATCCGGCAGCTATTAGTACTGACCTTTAAGGCAACTTCTACGATTCTATTATTCACAGATTTACGTGGGCAGTGAGCAACGTCTTTGTATTCTTCAACGTTGCACGCAACTAACAAAAGAAGGAGTCCAGATAGCCATTTCTGAAAACACAAAAACTCAAGCAAAGTTTCAACTTCATGACAGGCATATATTTACACTGAAATTCAACAATAGATGTTTCAAATTATAATTTTATACAGAAAAAGTAGAAAACGATTTTATGGGCTTGGTAGCGTGCCGCTAGTTACGACACCGCCGCTAATATACTTTAATGCTTTGAATTTTCTGATAGCGGATTAAAATGCAAATAGGAAAACTGTGCAACTCGATAAGGGTTTCCGACATGCTTTCATACTTAAAACAAGAATCTAATATCCGAAAAAATGATAATCACTGCATAGAACTAATTCAAAGATATTCCACAATCATTAAGGACAAAGACAACATTTAAAGACAAAACTTAAAAGCGTTTTGAAATAAAGTCTCATGTCTTATAAGAAGTAAATTATATTCGAATAAATGTTACTAAACAATTGAAAACAGAAGGAGATAACACGCAAAATGAGTGTTCCACTTCCCAGCTGTCTGCCTGAAGAGAGACTACCCGAGAATCGCCCCAGTTAGTCAGCTGAATGTCGTATGAGGTTGTTTAGTCCAAAGTACTTGTAGAAATTTGTCGCCGAATTTTGACCGATTCTGTAACACGGAGTCATCGCTACATCCAGCTGTGAAGTGCAATTGCAATTCACTTAACCGCCATTTCCGGTGGTTTCAACCAACCATACCAACGATCTGCGAATTTTATGGATACTGTAGTAATCCGCTTGAATTTCAGTTCTGCTACTGTTCGGACTGCGTTCTTGCTAACGTTGAACCCGCCCAAATCAGGGAAGTCCATTGGTGCTGAGGCTACACCACACATTTAACTCATCATTCTCCTATGCGTTGTTTCTAACACCTTTTTATTTATGTCTATCGTACTGCCGACATTATTCAATTTTCACAGAAACGGGTGAAAGCTGGTCCGCCATAGACATTCCGCCGCCAGATCGCTCTCATCTATGCACTAAAAAAGTGCCTTCAGCGGGCTGCACCTAATTGCTGCAGAAAAGTCGCCAAATAACACAAATGCACATCAATTCGTATGCAGGGGATGCCTGAGGACTGTAGATCCGACTATCTTCATAATATATCAGGTCGCCTGAAGTTCAGACACACGAGGGTTCAAACTCAGTTTGTTACTCGTTTACTTCACCAGCGCTTTTAGCCTAAATCCTGGCGATGAACTGCCATACAAAATGAAAGATTTTCCATTCAGTGGAGTTCTAAGTACGTTTTAAGCGAAAAGATGGACAGAGAAATCCATATCGATTGACAACATGATCCGAGTCGTTTCCGGTTCTCTAGTGTCAAGTATATTGATGACACAATCTTCTCTATGCCACGAAATCGTCGGACGACTTGAAACAGTATCAATTACCCGCTGATTAAGGAGGCAAATATTTATCTATAAACGTCTTCATCAATTACAGTTTCAATAGCACCGACTACGCTGCTCTAATTCAGAAACAAGAACAGACGGAAGTGGTCACTCACATGGTGGGACTGACTGGTCGGTGAAAATGTTGCTCAGGGACATTGCAATCACCTGCTCTCCAGATCTAGTGATGGATGAGCACGTTAAAGAGCTAACCGAAAAGTGTTTCATTCCTTGCAGATTATAACAGACAACCAAGCACCTTCACGAAACTAATTAAGAATTCAGAACATTTGCATCGGCACGCTTCCTACCACTGCATATATGCCGTCAGAAGTTGTTTCAAATAACTTTTTACATGTGACATGAAACAGACGCAACAGTTACTTTCAGTGTTGGTGATGCGAATGGCCCCTCACCATCAGTAGCAATTGCAATGTTATACACCGAGCTGACATTGACGTCATCTATGCCTCAAGCAGCTTCATTCGTAGTGGCATTTGCCCTCCTTTGCAAATAGACTTCCGACGATGCCAGTTGCCACTTCTACCCATTACTGAGTGTTAACACATCAGAATACACGAATTCAGCTCTTCCGGAAGTGATTTATGCCAGCCTCTGTGCCTATCCTTCAGTATCCTGATACTTCAGCTTCTTGAGAGCTTCCTTTCCTGTTCTGTCTCTGGTCTTATTCTACTTTGCATACCATTTATGACGTTGGTTGCTGTACTTCCAATACTTCCCATCATGTTTTACAGTTCTACACGTGACATTAATTTGTAATATTTAGTTAGCATAACTCATACTCTTCTCCAACGATGATTTACGTATGCTGATACATTACGGCACTTGTAGATAATATTCTTCATCATCTTCACCATCCATGGCCGCCTCTCCTTACAGGTCGCGGAGGCAGACGCGTCAGACAGAGCTAACAACGTTTCCGATCCTGTGCCAGAGTCTGAGCTTCGGCAAAAGACAAATGGAGTCTGGAACAGACTTCTTCCATATGTTTGCACCAGGGTTAATTTTGGCCGTCCCCTGGGCCTTCTGCGGGTCGGTTTCGCAAGAAAGAGTTGTTTAACCTTCCTCTCTGGAGGCATTCGCAACACATGTCCAAGCCATCGCAGCTGTGACTTCTCAATCTGGAGAAGTATAAGCTGTATACCAAGGCTCCTGGTATCAGTATTCCGAACCATGTCGAGAAGCGTAAGGCCAGCGACTCGTCAAAGAAAGGCTATTTTAGCAGCTTGTACCCGGGTTCGACGTTTTTCAGTGATGATCCACGACTCATGATCGTAGGTAAACATGGGGTCAAAGATCGAATTGAATACCGAGAGCTTCGTTTTCAGACTCAACTCTGCTTTAATCACAATTGATCGGGCTTGTTTACACAGAACGCTCCAAAGAAGGTTCATTTCTTCAGCAGTAATTGACTTAACGATCGGCAGTTCCAATGAGAAATGATTAATAGTAAGGGTGCTGCGATTAAACCTCAGAGGAAACATGCTTAGAAGCATTAAGTGCACTGTCTGGCTCACATTCGAGACCGACCCACTATTGTATCACTTGGCCAGTCAATAAGCAGAACTACGTTTGTGAGAAGGAAGTTTTCAAGAGCGAAAATCATGAAGATCGACATGCCTTACAGAATGTCATGTTTCTGATAATTGATGTTCTTAGAAGTACGACATTTGTCGCGAAAACAAACAATTACCCAAACTATCGAGCAATTAAACGTCTGTCTCAGCTAAACACGGTTTCCGGTTGGATTATCCTTGGATCCCAGTCAACCAGGCTTACAGAACTGACACCCACGCACAGACAAAACAACGCTTTGATACGGAAAGAAAACATTATGCAGCTGCTATCGGCTGCTCTGAAACTCGACTATTCTCGACTTTTTCTCATCCATCGACACATTGCATTTCCAGGCATTGTGGCCCTGTAATTCGACGCTACGAAATCCAAAAATCCTATCAGTGATGAATAAGGGGATTGATGATTTGTACGAAATAACGAAATCCGACGTCGTAATTGAAGAATTATTTTCAGATCAGTTCAATATAGCCACTGGAGTTCGTCAAGGATACATGCTTTCTCCATTGTCCTTCAAAATCGTGATAGCTTATGTTACGTGACAGGCCCTCGTTCTAAATATCAACAGTGGGCTGACCGTCAATCAGGAGAGAAGCTTCAAATATCCACTAAAATTTCTAACGGACCTTGCGAACTGTTCAGTAGCCTCAGAGGCCTTGGAGGACAGCATAAATGGTGCAAAAAGAACACCTTGAAGCTCATTAGCTGGCAAAACAGAATATTACCTTTCCGCATCAGTCGATATTATCCAATTCGCATGGAGTGTCAATCTTAACGAACAAGTATAATAATTATGAAACACTCTGCGTTTAATCTCTGCTAGCCTCGGGCAACTATGAAATACAAGAACGAGTGCTATGATAGGATATAAATCAAATTCCCTATGAATTTAGTGATTCCCCGGCAAATGAGCACATACTGGCTCAATTAAGTCAATATTTTTCTATGTAATGGAGACATTTCCCGTTACAAAGGACAGATAAAGACTTTTGAACTGGCTCGGGCAGCGTCTTCATCGAGGCATCATAATTCTAAAATGGCAAGAACATGTCAGCAACCCTTCTGTTTTTCATAAAGCAAAGTGGCGTTTCGCAGATCCAAAGATCATAAACTGAACTTGTACCTGTTAGACGAACCTGTTTAAATTGTACTACTGACTGCAGTACGTGAGCTTCACATGCAGGCCACAAACGATGCACTCTTCAAACACGACATAATCGTGTAAGATTGACGTAGAAATCAGATAGTGGAAGATGGGCCTTCAGAAGAGAGTTGTTTCTCATTGTATGTAGTTATATTTAGTATATCAAAGACGCATAAAATGGCCAAAGGACTTCACATCACTAACCAAAGACAATTTACAAATGCAAGTGACTAAAGGCCATGACCGCAAAACAACATAATTATTCAACGATGATAAACGAGAGATCAAGATTATGTTGCGAATTCCGAGATGGACAGTTATTAAAAATTCCACACAAAATGAAACATGCGGAAAAACTTATTTTAAATAAGAATCAATTGAGTTTTTGGTAAGGAAACACTGTAATTTGGTTCCCTGACATCTGAAGTGTGCAAAAATCAAATATATGCAAGGAATGGCCTGACATAAATGAAACTTAATCATAAGACGCTTATTAATAAAAAATGTACCTTCACTTGTAAAGCCATCGTACTTTCGGTACGAAACCTCTTCCACTCACGACACGAAAAACCGTGACCAAGTCGTAAGCCGTCGAATCAGCAATCTTTGGTCACCGATCCTACCAATCAACTGTTGTAGACTTAGTTATACAATATCAGCCTAAAATTTGTTACTCAAGATTAACATAAGAGATATTTAATGTCAAGCGAAGACGCGTTTTCTTCTCTATTGCTGTTCAGCTTTGTTTGAGTACTGGAGTAGGATCAATGTTGTTCCTTTTGCCTTATCAGCATCAATCAAGCATGCCAAATGACCTATTTGAGAACATTTGCATATATGACGGATAGGGCATATGAAATGGTAATGATAATCATTCTTCATATTGCATCATTGCGTAAACAGCCGGAAAAAATGTTTGCTCTTGCCTAGTTGTGCTTCTCGAACATAATCACACCTAAAAGCGTTAATAAGCTCCTTATCGACTACAAGAATCCTCTGAAACATGAGAGCAGAGATCAGAGCGATGAATGCATAATCGAAAACGTTTTACTAGTTGTTTTGTCGAGATTTTCAGATCCTTTTCGCTTAAAGCTAGTCGTACCTAAAAGTGACACTTTAGCCGTTGAACCGTCAAAGTTTCTCTTAGACACTGGTGCTTCTAACTACCACAAAAGTTTGCCACCTCAGAAAACAATTTACTCCAACTAAACTTTCGTAATTTTACTGTTCATATAAGCGAACTCGATACATTAAGAGGATGATGGCCACATGCAACATCGGTGAACTTAGTCTATTGCTTATGACCACAGTTAAACTTAATCTAATATGGTTTTTGAAGCAGTACTCAGTCAGGAAACAGGATTTCTCACATGAGGAAAATTACATTATTTTCAAAAGTTCCAAACTTCTCTATGTCACCGAGCATTCAGCAATTAATTAAACTGTCATCTAACTGTAAGAAATTATTTAAAGCACGGATGTGGCAACTTCACTTCTGGGATATAAAGATGAAGTAACATCAAAAGATTGAGAAGCAGTCAT